TGAAACCAGATAGTGGATGGCTATTTCCATAACAGAAGATGGTAGCGTCCTGCATGTGTCTGAATCCCTCCGTTATATATGGAAAATCTCTGCACTTTTAACCCGAAAGAATTAGATCGGGTGCATGGCTGCTGGGAGAGATCGAGCCGCCTTATTGCAATGCTACGTTAATTCAGGTAGGGGTAGGTGAGGCGAATTGCGGCCGCATGTCAGAAAATCTCACGGCCATCATTCTGATGCTAATCCAAGAATATTTGTTCTTCTTACCTGGATACGTAAACTGATTTGGCTTCATTTACGTTCGTATAGATTCGATGGGGTGGATTGCTTTGCCACTGGAATATTTTATCTGTCCAGTTCGTGTTGAATTGGAATTTTTTTCAATGCTTAACTAGCTCACATGGCTTATTCCACTCGCCCATAATGTCCGTGTATTCCTCTTCTCACTTGTGTTCATATCCTAGTACGTCCAAAGCAGACTGGTGGGCCAATGGAAGGTTGAAAGAACACGTCCTATAAATCTTTTTCACCTTGAGCCGAAGGTTAACAGGTGAGTTGGCTTAGAGTGTCAATCACTTAATCCCTCGGGCCCTGAAGGATCTCTCAGTATTCAAAGAATTCCGTTACGAGATGACGCGATAAGATAAAGAGATCTGTAAGGATAACAAGGCAACCACTCTTTGGTATTCAGGACTATCTTTGAAGTGTTCCCTTCCATTTACTTCCAGCTGGAGACATTCTCTAATAGGACTGTCGCTGTATATATGTACAGAAGCAACGTAGGAGAGACGATGAACCAAAGCTTTGGAGGTATTCAAAACAAATGAATCCTTATCATTGTGAACGATTTTCGAAAGTGGTATGCTAGCTGGTCCCCCACATCGTTAAGAACAGTTCATGAGATCCAAAAACAAATGGAGGATGGCTTGTTTGGACACAAGTCAGTTCCTGGAAGGCTTGTCCAACCTTTTACGCATTATCACAGCCACCTCCAGTATGGAGAACTGGATATGCTGATCTTCTACTTTGAAGGATATCTGAGCTGATTTTTTGTAATATAAAGAGAGGAATGTCATTATACACAAAGCTTGGCAGGCAAACGGAAAGAACATATTTTCAAGTTGGATAAACTTGATAAAGTACGCCACCCTGATGCTACATCCGATAGCAACTTCAAGTTCGAATATACCTCATGAAAAGACATCCACAAATTTCTTGAAGTCTAGAAGGCCGCATATGATGGAATTTCTAGAGATTCAAGCCATTTGAAACGCTGCGGGTGCCGGTCCATCCATTTCCA